AAAGGATGTATGGTTTAATAAGAAGACAACTGTGGTAAAGTCATAAGACCAATAGGATGTGGGGACAAACAAGTGGTGCAAAAGAGCAAGACCCATTTCAACAATAGTACAGTGCCTTTTTTCAACAGTGCCATTTTGAATGTGCGTGTGAGGACAAGTAATACGATGATGAATGCCCAAGCATTGGAAATCATCATGAAGAGCATGAAACTCTCCCCTAATCAGATTGAAATAAATGAATGGTAGAATTAAAATGAATATGAACAAGAGAATGAAATTTATGAAATACAGAATGAACTTGATCTTTAGTGTGAATGGCATAAAGCCAGATATATCTGGAAAAGTCATCTACAAATAAGATATAATAATGAAAGCCATTAATTGAGGTAGTGGGGGAAGGACCCTATACATCATAAAAAAGGAAATGAAAAGGCGCAATAGAGCGATGTGGTGATAATGATAAAGGTAGACGATAGGTCTTAGAGGAGTAACAAGCTGGACACTGAGGAGGTAGCTTCCTATTGGTGAGTGGAAAAGAGTGGTTGTGCATAATTTGAGTAACAGTATGGAAGGCACGATGGCCTAAATGATGATGCCACTGAAGGAGAGAGGTGCGAGCACTAAAGTGAGCTTGTGGATTGATTATGGGTGGAAATGGATACAGTCAATTACGGCTGGGACCTTGATGAAGAATTGTCCTTGTTTATATGTCCTTCACATAGAAATGAGAGGCATGAAATTTAAAAAACACATTATTATCTTTATAAAATTGACTACCACATAAGATTTTTAGTAAGAGTAAGAACATGTAAAAGGTTAGAGACAAGGTAGTTACCAGAAGGAGTAAGGAGAAGACTAGAGCCCTGATGTTGAATGGGAAGTAGAGAACCATCACTAACATGAAGAAAGTTAGAGCTATAATATGAATTAGAGTAGAGATGAGGTTAGAGAAATCATTGTTCATATGATGAGTGGCTCTTGTGTTTGGGTACCAGAGATTATCATTAAGAGAAGTATGTTTGGTGTAGTAAGAGGCTATTGAGGGTGGTGGTGGAGCTTGAAGAGCTTAGTTATATCTTTGAAAACACATGAGAGCACTATGACCATATTTTTTACATATTTGACATAGTGTAGTTGTATCATGCTGAAAAATAGAGAAAGTATTTTGACCTCCATTAAACAAGTGACCTCAACCACAAAAATTCCCCCAAGCTATGACCACATGAAGAGAATGGGGGACAGCCACCTTTGCCACCATGATAAAAGAAAGGAGAAGGGGAGTTGTTGGTGGAGATTTTTTGAATAGCATTGGCAAAAATACTGTTAGGTAGAGTGATAGTGTTTTCTCTGAGCATATGATCTTTAAAGATGAGAAGACGACTGAGTATCTCTTCTATAGAAAGGAAACATCATTAATTTATCAAGGATGTGACTACTGAGTTGAAATCAGAGCCTAAATCAGTAAGGAAATAAGTAATAAAATCATCATCTGCTATTAGTTTGCCAGTGGCAGCTAGAGAATCAACAAGAATGGTGGCTTTTTTGATGATACTAAGAAATAGTATCCCCTCATTTCTTCATGGTTGTGATTTATTGATGAAGATGAACAAGTTTAGCTTGAGTTTGTTGTGAAAATAGGGTTTCAAGAGCAACCCATATGGCACGAGATGTTTTGTGGCAAAGAAATTGCGGGATAAGTTTTTTTTGAAAGAGAGGCAATGAGAACAGAAAGAACAAATTGGTTTTGTTGAAACTAAAGAAGATAATCACGATTAAGGAGGCCAGCAAATGTTTTGTAAGGTGGTGAGGGTATAGAACCATCGATATAGCCAAATAGTTGCTGTCTATAGAGGTAGGACATGAGTTGAGCTCTCTATATGAGATAGTTGTCCTCAGTGAGGCATACGGTAACAAAATGATGGAATTAGGATGGAGGAGTAGTATGGAGGGAGTGGTGAAGATGTATTGGTGCTTGTAGATGAGTATGGCGGTGTGTGAGAACAGACATCCTAAAGATAGTTCATCAACTCTGATACCATTTTAGAAGAATAAAAACAGAGAGAGAGAGAGCACAGTGAATTGCATAAAAGCATTGTTGTATTTCTTGATGTTTTTCATGTACGGTGAAGGTTTATATATAGAAAACTTTAGCCAATACAAATGTGACAGGTGTAAATCTAGGAATATTCTTGAAATAAACTAAGCTAGACTATCACATAACTTCTTTGATGTTGATTTTATTATGAGTAGAATTTTGTATTTCAACATAAAGAGAAACCAAAGGAAACAACTAGAAATCAACAAACTTGGGATAAACAATTATCAAAGTTATAGCAAAGTTATCAATTCTCAGTGAACTCCCTTACAATCATTAGCAGCTAAAGAGTTAGCAATATGATTTTTTAAGCCTTGGAAAAAGGTGAATTTGAGATAAACAGATTCATGTGTTTAAGCTCTTAAGAGGCGATTTGGGTCTTATTAACAATTCTATTAATATTGACATTCTCTAGAAATTAAGCTTCACAAGTGTACAAGCTATATGAATAGTAAGGCAATATGTAGAGGTCTTCTCATAGAAATCATGTCAAATGGTAGTTAGGCATTAAACAATCTATTTTCATTTTAGATGAGCAAACTCTAAGAAGCCTTGATACAAGTATGTGTACCCTAACATCATATGGCATCATACAATAAATAGCAATTTTTTAAAGTTTTAGGATACAATGGGCACAAAGATATAAAAATAAAATAAATTTTTACACGCATATGTAAAGTAAACAATTTAAAAAAAGTCTTGGTTTAAAAACCATCATAATAATAATAAGCGATGTAAAACATCATAGGAAATGATGATGAAATTTAATCAATCATCATCATCTTCAATTACAGTACTTGGATCTTTTAGGAATTATCTTTTTTCAAAAAGTGATTTACATTTGTAACTTCAACGTGTTATACACTGTTAAAGGCTTTGAAATGTTTATATATATATATATATAAAAGAGACTTTGAAGTGTCTCTGATATATTTTATCGACCACTATACTTTATACTCTATCTTGATAAAAGACAAAAATTTGTACTCGAACCGAGTCTTTTGTTCTTTTCAAAGTTATCTCATTCCTCTTCAATGTATGAACAAAAAAAAAATTGATTCAATTTCTTTCTAATGAGACAAAGATCATGGTTAATCAAAAAGTTTTAATGCAATTCCCAAAAACTCAATGGGATTATTGCTTGTGAAGGTATTATTTCTAAATACCTTGGTTGTTATCTTTGCATTGCCGCCGAGCTTTTTTCAATCTTTACTAGAGGAAAAAGTTAACAAAAATTAATATCTACTTTGATTCTCTTAAAACTCTCACTTTTATTTAATATAATTTCACTCAAAATCATTTGTTGACTGAAATTATAAGAACATCAAAGATCTAACCATGAAAAATTAGATAATTGATTTCAACCACGTGTTTAAAAAATCTAATCAATGTATGGATTAGCTTGTTCATTAGGCTCGTAATGTCAATCTTGATATTAAGATTTTTAATAATCCACTGCCTAGGTGTTATAATTTTACGAGCTTAGACATGTTTCAATTACTTTTTTTTATAGGAACTATTCGTGATCTTGTATTTTAAAAAACTGAATTTATTAAAAAATAGGGGTAAACTATCTAGAATTTAAGCACCACTCTTTAGGCTCTAAAATTCACCTATTTTGTAAGGAATCAAATGACAAATATAACTCAAAAGATTTACAAAACTTAAAATGTTCTTGAAGAACCAACTTTATCTTCTCACAATCGTTGAAGTACCTTTTAAATCACTTTGCACACTCACTTGATATTTCCACATCTTTATGGGGACGTATTGATCTATTCAGTACATCATCAATCTATCATAGCATATAATATCGATATAACATGGGGAAAAAACAATATTAATAAGACTTGCTTGTTGTTAATTTAGTAAATCTAAAAATTTTCGAAGAATAACACACATATGCAGAATGACTAACTTAATATTAACGAGTAAAGAAGACAATGTAAGTGTGCAACTCTTTATTCAACTATCAATAAATGATCTCATAAACAATTTTCATAGAATTTTGAATACTCAGAAAACAATTTCTTCTTATGCTTATAAATTGACTCCCCCACTTCTTCTATCATTGAGTCATTCCTACCTAGTATAACAAATCATATAAGTCATATGAAGTGCAGTTTTGTAAACATATTCCTACTTAAAAATTTTAAATAAGTAACATAAAATAAGTTCAGATATTTAATGTTATATTTTAAAGATGATACAAAATTAAACTTAAAAAATATTTCATAAGATATAAAAATATAAAATAAAAGACTAATTCCTTATAACGTGGAGAATCAAAGTTCAAATTTTTATTAGAAAATATGCTTATATTTTGTGCTCGATTGTGTTTCGAACAAGATTAGCTCTAATAAGACAATACATATGAGCAATAAAAAAAATATAAAGACAAAATATGTAAATTTTACATGGTCCTAATTTATATAATTTTATTTTTAAATGAATTTATAGATATATATATATATATATATAAGTATTTAATTAGTTTCTTATGTATTTTACAACTTAATAAAAAAATAGAATGATAATTAGATCACAAAATATTGAATTAATAACAATTAATTTTTCATCAAATTTTTCTTAAAAAATAGCTTGTAAATATCATTTAGTATATTTACTAGCAAAAATTTTAAATATAATTTGAGAGTTATATTTAAAACTTAAATATATTATTTATAATTAAAAATTTTTATTTATAATTCTATTAATTAATATCTTTAATTTATTTTCTAAAAATATTATCAAGATTTAATTATTATTAAATTAGTACTTTTTTTTTTTTTTTTACCTGTACTAAAGAATATACCAAACAGAGGTGCGCTAGGTTTGGCCCAAAAACGCGTCTCTATATAAGGAGACAAGGAGTACACTAAACCGATCTCAGCTTCGCTGGGTTTAGGGTTTAGAATTTTTCTTCGCCGCACCTGCGGCAGAGCCTAGCACTGGGATTTATCCTTCTTAGCTCACTTTCAAGTTTGAGATGTGATGAAGAACAAAACCATGGATTGCTTGGTCGTTCTCGTGATCATCAAGCAAGATGATTCGTTACATATGGTTCGTATTCACTGAGCATTGATTTGATTATTCTCTTTTCTGATAAACGAAGGACCTATGGAGGAAGCGCCATGATTCAGTGTGCTTTTGTCCAAGTTTGCCTTCGGAAATAGTACCGAAGTCTGATCGCTCACCAATTGCCTTATTCATTGGTGAGATTAACGTTCTTATTTGATTTTCGTACATTTTTATGCAATCTTTTATTCTTCTCGAAGAAGAACGCGAAGGTCCCAGCAGGGGAGCTATATACTCTTACAGTGAGGCTCCTCTAACAATAGATTTCGCAACCCTTCGCAGATCTAATAGCCGAATCGTAGGATGCTCAAAATGTTTTGATTTTTGGTGCATCCGGAACCCTCGGCTAAATGTTAAGCTCTAATTTACACATACTAGGTTGACATTGTTTTCAGTTCAATTTCTCGACACTTTTTTTTTTGTTTTAGACTTCAGATGTTTGTTTCACGAGCATCAGTGATGAATAGTTTAAATTGTTATCCTTGCACTATGATTGCCAGTGAAGAATCTTATGGGGAATGATTATTCTGAGATGCTTTTCATATGTGAAATATTACTCTAAATGGCAAAGCTTTTGCAGAGTAAATGTCAAATATTTTTTATATTTTTCTTATGTATCTATCTCTACTAAGCTCAATAGGTAAACCAGCTATTGGTTTGAATTCAGCATTATGCTAGTTATTTATTCAGGTTTAAGATTTAGCTTATTCGTCTGTTTTATTGATCTTTCTATGTTTCGGTTTATGTTTACATTTGCTCAGTTTTTCTGTGGTAAGGATCTATGATGCTATGTTGAAACTGCGTTATCTATCTGAATTCCTAAAAAGGAATTGAAGATAATGATAATATGCTGAGATCTTAGTGGCAATTAGTAGCAGTGTTATTTGTATTTTTGCTGTTCTACTTCGCCTAATGCTGAATCATTTGTTGGAATTACTTTTCTGCCCCACCAGGGCCATCACCGAATTTTTCTAGGCTGAGCAGGGTAAGATTTCAATTTTTTGACCCCTCACTACACTGTTCTCAAGCCAAGTTGCCAGATATTTTCATGATCATAACTTATGTTTGTTAGGACTTTTGGTGATTTGGCTAAAATTATTTAAGTTTTATATTTTTGGTTTCTTCTCATCTGATTTCTCAAACAATTCATCTCGCATTGTTGGTTTGGATATGCACATTTTTTAGCGTCAAGGATTTCTGGACAATTGTGTTTGAGGTCATCATGAAGATGCATTTATAGGTTCTTTCTTTGATTTAGCTTTGACTTCTAAGTTTTAAGTCGTTTGTTTAATTGTATTGTTGATCTTTCATCTTTCTTTGTGCTCAGGATTTTCTGTATTTTTATTTCCAGTGCTAAGGATCTATGATGCTATATTGAAACTGCGTTATCTTTCTGAAAGTTCCAGAAAGGAATTGAAGATATTTATAGTATTTTGAGGTCATGCTAGTACCTATAAATATTAGGGATATAATTAGTTATTTATTTATGTATATGTTTTCGGCTTTTGTATTTTACATTGCCTTGCAATTGGCACCTATAAATGTTAGTGATATGATCTTAACCAGTATTAACGAGAAATTGGATCCAACGACTAGTTTCAAGGATCCAATTTCTTGGGTCTTTCTTGATCATTTCTCAAGAAAGAATTCCCTCCCCTTCCTTTCTGACCCCCTTTCCCCTTTTTTTTTCCTTCCTTCTAATCATTAAAGATCTGAATGGTTTATATTTAATCTCTTGTAAAAATTTGTATTAAAATGATGAATGATAAAATCAGATAAATAAGAAAATTGAAGCTGCTAAAGTTTAATCTCAACAGTTTGACTTTGCCATATAGGTAAAATAAAAATAATATTTTTAAAAATGTCAAATCTGAAACCATTTTTTAAGTAGAGTAGAAATGTTCCATTCTACAATTCCAGAACAAAAAAGCAAGGCAAGATAAAAAGTGCACAAAAACAAAACCCAAAGAACACACTCCACCTAGAGAACCCTAACTCTTAACTGGAAGCCATGCCAGTGACAACAAAGCCGTTATAAAGAGTGGAACAATCCTTCATCAGTAAAGATGCAACCAAAATTGTTAAAAGAGGAGTCATGTGAGGATTCCATGATAGTAGAAAAATCCATGGATGCCAGTGAACTAGCTAAAGCGGGAGGAGAAAGAAGACAAACCCACCAATGATGGGTTATCAGAAACCTTTGATTGGCATCGGCAGAAGTTATGCTTCCTCCAAAACCGTGAGAAGGTGTCCAGGTGCGTGTCTAACCAACAACAATCCATAAAAGCCGTCATCAAGCGAGCTAGCTAGACATTCAATTTCTGAAAGGGTTAGTTCGCATGTTGTGTTCCCAGATTCTTTGCAGTTTTCTTGGTCTCTTGTGATGAAAGCGTGACCCTAAAGTCCTGGCTTTCGGAGATTCCTAACATGCAAGAAGCTTCTTGAAAGATGGGGGTGTGATCTTTGTTTCTTGGTCTCTAGCCTGACCTCTTTCTCTGTCTTCGAGTTTCTACTATAGTTGGGTGTGAAATTAGATGTACAGGAGTTGCAATTTTTCAAATGAATAGACAGTTTGAGTTGAACTTTCTGTGAATTGAGAATCCCAAGAGATTTTCTGTGACAGAGAAGTTGAAGGTGGAGATGATGGAGATTCACTATGTGACCTTTGTAAGAGGTGGTGGTAAAGATCACTTTTCTGAGCTCGATCATCTGTATTTGCTTAGCCACCAATGCTTTAATTATTTGCATTTTCTTCTCCTATTGTTCGAGCCTACACATGTTTGTGTACTAATACGATTAATATGCTTGATTTGTAAATTTAATCAACTCTTGTGATTACTGAAAAGTGATAGTGATACCTTTAAACATGTTAAAAAGGAGGGTTAAATGATATTTTTGCCAATTCAACTATTTAATCAGAAGGAGCTAATAACCTAATTTTTCATGTTGTGCAATTTTTTTATTCAACAATAGAAAATGGTGCATTCTATTGTTAAATAGGTTAATTTTAATTTTGATTGCTAATTGACTCAAAAATTATAGAAAATGATTTAAAAAATTATAAAAAATCATTCATAAAATTATACGCAAGTACTCTATAAGAATTTAATATCAATTAACTTCCTTAAATGATTAAATTACATATACATAACAAAATAAAAGTGTTATTTTTTATCTATATAAAAAGCTAGAATATAGTTTTGACTAATCATTATTTGAAAAATTTAACAGATATTAATTTTTTTAAAAAATACTTATTTGTAATTTTATAAGTCATTTTATATAAACTTTAAGTCATTTTTTATAATTTTTGGATCAACTAATAATTTTACTTTTTTAATAACACATTGTCTTTAAATATTGAAGAAAAAAATTGTATTACATAATAATTTAGGATATTAACTATTTTTAAGTGAAAAGTTAAGAGGGTAAAAATGTTCTTTAGTTTTAAAAAAAATACATAACTTTTAATTTTTTTAATAATTAATAATTATAATAAACTGTTTTCTAGGGTTTTTAAGTACGCAAACAATTTGTTGCAATTACCAATAATGAATTCTCATAAACACAATGAGACCCACGATAAATAAATAATGGGTAAATTTTTAAAAATAGTTTAATTTTGTCGTATATTAAAGGCTTATAAGAGCTTTAATGATTTTTTTTCTTGCACATAATAAATGATTTTAACATCACAAGAAAGGAAAAAAATTAATTAAGGAATGAGAACAGATTTTTAAAAAAGAAAAAAAAAACATTTACATCACACATATGCTTTGGCAACAGGGGCCAAGGGAGTAACATACATCATTGACCCCTAGATCCATTGAGCATATCGTTCTCAATCATTCCTAGGCCTTGTTTGTTAAGACAGTAATATTTCTTTGTGAACTATTGTCAATTTTTTTCCAACCATAAGGAGTTAAATAATACTCCAAAAACATCAATAATTCTTTGACAAATTTCTCATATTCATTTAGATGTATTTAGATTTGAATTAAATATCCCATTTAAATGTATAAAAATCAATGAATTTGAATTTGATCAAAATTTTAATCCATATTATATTATAATTTCTTTATAATTTTATATTCTATATAGATTTTAGTTATTTAAGATTTTAGCTATTTCATTTATTTTTTTCCTTCATTTTTTTTTTACTCTCAGTGTTTTGTTCCATCTTGTTGTCACTCATGGTTGAAAAATCATATCTCTATTCCACCTTGTAAATTTGTAACACTATCCAAACAAAAAAAATTTAATATGATATTTTAAATTTTAAATTTTAATTAAAATTCATCACTTTAAATACTACCATGAAGAATTATACTAGGCTGCGTAAATTCTCTGACCATTTTGTCGGTAACATAATTTTTCTTCCGAAAAACGTAAATAAATTTATGTGATTTGAACGATTATGTTCCTCCACTATATTTTCTTTTTCAAAAAAAAAAAAACTTTATCCTGAAAATTTTATTATTTGCGAACCTTAATTGTCTGAGATATTGACAATTCAAATGAGTACAATATATAATTTGACTATTTTGTCCATAGCAACGACAACTTAACAAAAGTAACCACACGCTACGAAAAGAGACATGGCTGAATGGGATCTTTGCAAAAGTCTCAATCCTTTAAAAAGTTCATATTCTTAGGTTTCTTTTCTTGCAAAATAGTCTCTCCCTGGCCAAAATATAAATTATCGTTAGTTAATTCACATTTTTCAAAAAAATGTTAGTTAAAACGTTAGCTTTTTAATTTTTTTACCTTTTTTCAATTATATTTTCATTAAATATCTTATATAAATACTTTAATAATGGTAATTAAAATTTTAATACATCATTTTTTTAAAAAATAATAAATAAAGTAAGAGTATAGTTGAAAAAAATATAAAAATTATCTAATAACTTATATTTTAGACTAAGTAAGACTTTTAAAATATATCTTAGTATGGAAATAGTAATTGTTAACAATTTGATTACTACTTCAAAATAAAAATAAAAAATTGTTGATGTAATGTTTCATTGGGATGAAAACATCATTCTCATTTCAATATGCATGCATTTTTTTAAAAAGAAAAAAATGAGGTATAATAGAATAAAACAACTTAGGTGGTCATTACTTGCTTTGCAAGCATATAATGACTTTTTACAAATCAACATACTTTTGTAACAATTTTTTATTTTTGTTTGAGCAATCTCAAAGAAAAAACCTGTGAAGGATTTATTTTCATTTTTGTTTGCTAAAATTAGTAAATATTTAATCAAAATAACCAATTATACCCTATTATCTTTACATTCTTGAGTCAATGTATGCTACTTCTGAACCTATTTACATGAGATATTTCATAGTTAACTTTAATGTCATTATCTATAAGTTGTTTTTTTTTCATAAATAGGTCCGGAATAATGCTGCTGCTGCTGTTAAATTAATACACATAAATTTTTTATAAAAATAAAATAAACTAAATTTTCTCTTGTTCTGTTTTGTTTTTACTTGTTTGAAGTTTTGATTTTGGATTCTTCTTTGTCTTGTTTTTTCTTTGTTAGCTTGTACTTCATTGGCTTTCCCTTGTCCTTTGTGAGACATGGTGTGCGTGTTAGTTAACAAAGTATGATTATATATATTAAAAATGAAAATGATTTAAAAGTATAAATTTTAAATCATAAAAATATACTCTTGATCCTTAATATAAAATAAAGTTTAAAAGTCTTTTGATTCTTGAATATAAGTTAAAATTAAAGTAACACATTTTTTTTTCAATTTGACCTCTTATTTATTTATTATTATTTGAACTCCTAAACAAAAATGTATGATGATTATTAATTAAAAAATTCAAAATTTAAAAATTATTTATTTTTTAATAATTTTAAGAATATAATTGCCATTTTTTAATAAGAGCAAAATTTATTAAATTTGCAGGGTTGGGTAATGACAATTGTAACATCCTGATTTTTTATATAATAAAAAATTGTGGAATTTAAGTTTTGAGAAAAAAATGATAATAATAGGAATTTATATTATTTGAGGTTATTTAGAAATAATATTATGGTTAGGTATTTAATTATGAATTTAAAAATTTAAATTTAAAACCACATAAGCAATATTTAGTTAAGATATAATACATAAATAATTTTTTTTATGTATGTGTTGAAAAAAAAAGAGAAGGTAGAATGAACAAAAAAAAGGGGTGGAAGGTTGTTGTTTCTAAGTCCCACATTGGTTAGATGAGGGAAGAGAAGAGGTGCCTTCATGTATAAAAAGGAGGGGGTGTGTGCATTAGGAAGTATGAGAGGCTAAGATGCAATTTAGAGAAAATTGCAACTTTTGGCCCAAAGGTTTGAATAATTAAATTCAAACCTATAGTTTTTTTTAATATAATTTTGGGACTCACAATCCCATTTTTATATTATTTTTCTCTCTTTCTCTCACGTTGCTCGGCGTTTTCTCGCAAGGGGGATTATTTTCTTTTTCTTCAGGTATGTTCTAATTTTTTGTTTAGATTAGCATTTAAAAATTTATTTAATTACAAAATTAATTTTATAGTTATTTTCTAAATAATATTAGCTTTCTAGTGATATGATTATTTTGTAGGATAGAGTAAATATTTTGATTAGAATTTTTCTATAGGATAGTTAATCTGATGATATGATGGATTAAAAATATAGGTTAAAATTTTTAAGGATATAAAAAATATTATAGAATATTTTTTTAAGGTTGAAACTCATGTTTAAGAATTTTTGAGTTAAAATCTAGATCTATATGGTTGAATTTATATGGAATCTGAGACGTAGGGATAAACCTATGATTATTAAATATTTATTTAAGTATGAATAGGTATTTTTGAGGTTATAGAAAGGTGATTTGAGGCTTCAGGATAATTCTAAAAATTTTAATTTATTTTTGGATGCATTTTTAGAATATAGAAGGATGAAATTGTGATACTAGAAGTGAATTGAGGATAAAAAAAAATAGTTCATTAGGGTATGAGAATTTTAGAAAAGAATTTGGGAAGTTAAATGAGGCATAAATCTTAAATTATTATTAATATAGATTATAGATCTAAGACTTTCTAACTCTTTAAATTAGAGTTATTTATTTTAATGTAAAATTAATATATAATATTGTGAAATAATTATGTAGATTATATTGACAAAGATAGTGGTGAAAAAGGAGTTGTGAAGGGGAACTTGTTATTCAAGACACAAGGTAACCATTATTAATGTGTTGTGATGGTGTGTTTATGAATGGTTATGTGTTGTTTTGTTGTTTGGAAAAATTATGAATTATTGAAAATAAATACTGTTGTTAAAAATTTATTTTTTGCTTATCATGATGAGATATTATTGTTCGAATATATTTCTGTTTGGATATTTGAATGATGCATGACTTGTCAGGGTATTTTAATGTATGGTGTTAATGGGAATTTCTGTTCGGTTAATTATTACCACGTGGTAAGCCCTCATTGGACCCAATGAATGGCGTGTCGCTTGGTCCAACTCACCTTTGGCCGGGTGATTTGGTGTTCGAGCATGGCGAAAGGAGGATATAAGGTGCAGTCATGTAAATTAAATACTTGTTCAGTTTGTTTGAAAGTATTGTTCGGTTAAATGTTTTGTGTGCCTACTTAGCAATCGCATGATTAGTTACATCCGCATGCATCATTACATATTAATTTTTGGTTACTGGGACTTTTAAGTCTCATTCCCCATGGTTAATATTTTTACAGGAGCGAGTCCGGCCGAGAAAGCACCAGAGGTGTAATTATGGTGTATGAGACACCATCTTTTATGTTGCTTCTTATTTTGGATTATACAATGTATCTTGTGCCAACTTAGGACATATCTTCTTTGTGGAGCATGTAAACTCTAATCCTTTTTATTAAATGCATTTATATGTTCAAGAGGATTATGTCTGTCCCTTTTAATTTATGACCTGATTTGAATAACATGTTATGAGGATCATGTCTGTCCCTCATGGTTCTAATTACTTTTTAAAATATTTTAAGACCTGTGATATATTGTCTTGGATGTATCATGGTAGAAATTTTTCTACCATGATAATGGTTTTAATAATTTGTGAAAAATCGGTTTGTAAATTTGAGGGTGTTACAACAATTGAAGGGTGGGTTTCTAAAGGGACCTCAAGGGCAAGTTTCTACTCAATCTACTTTTTTAGTGGTGTGAATTTTGGTTAAATTGATCAGTTTGATCTGATTTTTAAAACTTATATATTGAAAAAAAATATTCCCTTCATCTCAAATTATAGAATATTTTTAAAAAAATTTTTCTATCCCAAAATATAAAATACTTTGGATATATTAAGATTTTATTAAAAATATCAATTTTAATATTATTCTTTTTTTATATAATTAATTTTTATTTTTTTAATATATTAAATGATGAATATTTTTAAAAATTTATATTTTTATTTTAAAAAGATAAGATTGTTGAATATATTTAACAAGATTTATTGATATATAAAATTTTATTTAAAAATATTTTATAATTTAAGATATAGAGAGTATTAATGTACTTCAAATAAATTAAAATTACAACTTTAATTAACTTAATCCTTGTACAGTTAAACCAACTTGATCCTTTTTTTTAAATTCCATTTATCCCAGTGTCCTTCTACTTTTGTCTTGTCGCGAGCATCCACTTATAGTCAGCAAGGGTAGTTTTGTCTTTTCGCATTCAATTGCCGTTATAATTATTAGCGACCGAATGAAGTACATCTAGCTACCTACCCAGCCAGCGCATGCAATAAATGTTGTCATTTTCTTACACTAGACTCCAAATTCCCACTTCTCTTCCGTTCCGCATTGCTTCAATTATACCCTGGCTCTCTCTCTCTCACCTGATTAATTATTACCTCTCTCCCACCGAAACCTAACCCACCAGCAAATTCCCATTCATTATACTAATCACTGATAACTTTTTACTATGCATTTCTAGTTCTTGGCGTGCAAGTCGAACTACTACTTCTGGGGTTCGTTTCTTTGGTTTTCTGCGTATTGTTGTTGGATTATTCATGGAATTAATGGAGCAATCGAGGCCTGTGAATTTGGCCATGACGTTTGACGAGGTCTCCATGGAGCGAAGCAAGAGCTTCGTCAATGCCTTGCAGGTTCTACCTTCTTTATTCCATTCCCCGGTTTCTTGCGTGTAATGTTGATTTTGGCTTTTGGATGTGGCTTATTTGGACCAGATCTGCTTTTGTTTTTGTGCTTTTTGATTGAATTTGGCTGTGACATTTCTCTGTGTTGCCATTTTCCGACTGGCATTTTTGTTTCTGGGTTTATTCTGCTTGATTTCGCGTTACTAAGCTTGTGGATTTTTATCTTACTAGTATATCGTCGTATCTTATGTTGGTGGTGGAGAAACTCGGTAAATATGGGTTGAGTTTATTTTCTTTAATTTTTGGTTAGATATTTGGCGGTGGATACTTTTTTAGTGCGAGACTGCGAGTTTTAGGATTTCAAGATTAGGAAGCGTCAGAAATTGTGGTTATACCTTTTTCGAGAAAAAGATAAAACTCACTTGACTGTGAAAAAAATCAAACTGTCTTTCCCTGCCTTGAAGCCTCGAGGCGAAATGCCACGAAATTTGAAGCAACCAACTCCTCACGTTGGGCCATGCACTGATATTGAGTCATTTGCATCAATATATACCTCTTCAAAACAGCCATATCCTCAAAGTTGAAGTTGGTAACAGACAACAAAAGCGAAATTATTTCATTAAATATATTATTTCTCCTTGCTCCCAACGCACGCAGTCTGAGTACCCATACTGTACTGTACTTTTTATTCATTTGCCCATGGTGCATTCCAGCTGTGATACCTGTTTCCAAAAGTGTCCTGGAAATCTGCTCTAGATCATTAAATACATGGCCCTACTGTGTTCTGCAATGCACTTCATCAACAGGAAAAAGACAAATGGCTGCCTCAAGAAAGTTTTTCCTGAAACTGGTAGGAGTTAAGAACACTTTCTTCACAGGCTTTGGGTTTGTGCCAGGAGATCATCAGCAGCAATTTGCACTTGCTGACCAATTTTAGCCTTTAACTTTTCATAATGCTCCTGTCAACTTGACCAAATGGATCCTCTATGGACACAATAATATTGTAACGTCACGAATGATTTGCCCACATTCTTCCAGCTCTCTCCTGATATTATGTGACTTTTCATTAATCTCTTAAAATTTGAATAATAGGTTTTGTCCTGTATATTCACCGAAGCACCTTCCTTACAAACGGCAAGTGACACTGCTAAAGTAGCCTTGGCTCAAAGCTTCTGCTTGCACCATCCCCCCTTGACTTTTCCATTAAGTCACTGTACCATGTAATTTGCCAATCCCATCATGTTGTGCATTTGGTAACAATTAAGAAGAAGAAGAAGAAGAAGAAGAAGAAGAAGAAGATGAACTCAATCCTTCATAGATATTGATATATCCCAGTAGAGTTTCAATAACTGCTGCCAATGTGCTAGCCCTGAAAGTTTCAGAAGAGAAGAAAGGGAGTCCTTTGGCCTGCCTATTATCTTTAAGAAACTCAGGATAATCTGATCTACCATCTCTCAGATGCATAAGGGTGACTTTAGAGCTCTCAAATTAAGCATCCTTGTAAGGATTCAGGATCAGGAAGCATAAAAAAATGCGGCTATATGCCTTTTTCTGAGAAAAATATAAAACTCCTTTGATATGAAACTCACTAATTTTTCCTTCTCTGAACTCAAGACTCTGCTCATAGTCTAACATATGGAACAAGAAAGGAAGCGGTAAGGTTCTCGTCACTCTGGACCTTGCAATGATACTGGGGTATTGCCATAACTAATTGGGCCAATTTTAACAGTGAGTCTTCAATTATTAGTCTCCAATTCTAATGGTGAAGGCAAAATATTTCTCGTGAGTGATGCTTAGATGTTTGTTATCACTTTTTCAAGCTCTGATTTACTAGATAATGTTGACCTTAGCATATTTAGTGGCTGCACTCAAGTTTAGTTATGGTAAATGCCCAGATGGTCTAGTCTAATTAATGTTAAATATAGGAAAAAGAGAAAGAGTAAAGGGAGACTTGTAGACATGTGCTTATGGAGGTGAGGCACCATGGAGCTAGTCCCAGCAGCTTAGGCACTGATTGGTTCCATAATAGTTACAAACATAAATAAACCAATTTATGGCAGGTGGGACAGAGAATAAAGGAGTACTTGTCTTCTAGACATATCATGGAATGCATCTGAATTACATTACACCTAGTGGATCTGTAGATTATTTTTCTTCTTCAGTGGCTCACATCTTAGTGTGAGTCTAATCATATCGATGTCTGCATAGCTAGCATAATGAGGTGTGATATACACTTATTTGTCAAGTTCAGATGTTCCAGTATAGTTGCCATTGCAAATAACTCTATGTTTGTGCCGAATAGATACTCTTTAGTTGAATATTTGCAATTATTTAGTGTTATTAGGAATTTGGCATCTGGCATAACTGAAAAGCATGTCACGTGTCACTAATATCATCCCAATGACCCAGACTCTTGATTGCACTTCACGTAAAGGTTGCTTTTACTGCAACAATTTGAAGTGTGATAACTTTTGACATTGGAATCTCATTGTAATATTGAAAGAAGGTCTATCAATTTTCTTTCTTCTTGATGTAACTGCCCAATTTAGACAGTTATCTTCTCATGGCATGATTGCTTTGACTAATTTCCTCATAATAGTTACGGACCATGCTTGAATGATCATTTGATTTGCCTTTGATTTTCATTGCAGGAACTCAAGAACCTGAGGCCCCAGCTTTATTCTGCTGCAGAATACTGTGAAAAATCTTATTTTCACAGCGAACAGAAACAAATGTAAGAATACTGTTTACTCACGCTAGGTTTTCCTGTTGCTAGTGAGTTTCTTATGGTAATTTTACTCCTTTCACTCGAGCTTCTTCTCTGTTTTCATTTTGCAAGTAGTTGAAGCTTCAACAACAGGCCTAGCAGTTAGAAATTTCACTGCAGTACAGTTTTAGTTGGTGCTAATTAGTGATACAGTGCTTCTAAATTATTCTATGTAATATTGTTTAAGGCCATTTTAATCAATCCAATTGTTTATAGAAAAGCTTTCTGATATTGGGACAATCAATAATTAAATATAAATATAGACATACATATAAACATAGACATATGCGTGGCAGAAATTTGAACTATGTTATTAAATACAGTTTGTTTTTGTGCCAAGAAAAAAAAAAATTCGATATGGTCAGGGAACATCACAAAACATGGATTAAAAATTTGCCTGCTGTAATATCTGCATTACCACATGTAGGGGGAATCACTGCACAAACAGACTCTCAACAGCATGTATGGTTGCATCATAATTGTGATGTTGCTGAAAATGGGTGGTTATGGCCTATGGTCATCGTAGATAGAATCCCATATTTAACTGTGATCCCTCATGCAGAACAGGTCACGTGAATGCATTTATTTTTTGTGTAATTAGTATTTAGTATGAGTACATTTGAAGACATCAGCAGACGGGGGACCCTATGTGTGCTTTCTGAAATTTTAGATCGATTAGATTTTAATTTTATGCTGGAAGATGTACACCAGAGGGGTCCTCTTTCATCAAGTGGTCACTCTAATCTGACAAGTGTGCCTGATTTGCGTATGTGTTCATTCTTGTTTTAGCAAGGTTATTTATTTCCTTCTTTTGAATGCTCATTCATGTGTTAGGGTGCTTGACAACCTGAAAGATTATGCTGTAAGAGCCTTAGTGAATGCTGTTGATCATCTTGGAACTGTTGCATACAAGTTAGGGGACCTACTCGAGCAGCAAACTTCGGATGTCTCAACCATGGACTTGAAGGTCTCTACTCTGAATCAGGTATGTAAGTTTCAGATATCATGTTGATATAGACATATCAATTGTAGCTAGAGTAACCATGTTTTCTTTTAAGCAGCAATTTCTAACATGCCAAATTTACACGGATAAAGAAGGTCTTAGGAAACAGCAATTGTTTGCTTTAATTCCCAGACATCATAAGCACTACATATTGCCAAGTATGCTCAACTTCTATTGTCTGGTAAAAATTTACTTGTGATATAGATCTTGAACCTTTGTTCTTACCAATGGGTTTCTGTCCTGTTTATTTAACCGTGCAAGCTAGACTCTGTCAATAAGAAGGTGCACTTTAGTCCACACATACAGATTGATGCAAGGCAAACTCTTTTTCAAGCTAGAAGCCAATCTCATATTCCGGGTATATGGCTTCAGAAATACTACCCTGTCGGATATTTGGGCACCAGCTTTGATATGTTTTTCCAATTTGGCAGTGATTGAAATTATTATTTATCTTTGTATGATATTTAGGTACCCCTGCATCGAAAACACTTTCTTGGCATTTGGCTTCAGAGACTAAGTCTACATTGAAAGGCACTTCATATTCTTCAGCTAAGTGAGTTCTACAGAAAATCTCTAGCTATACGAAGAGTCTTTCTTTTTCTTCTGTGAATTATGAGACGCAATGCTTATTGGTATTTTAACACATCCAACTGTGCAGCCCTGAGGACTCAAAAATTTCTCCTCCAACTACTGTAGCTTTCCAACTTTTAGGTAGGAAGGATAGACGTATCATTTTCATTATATAATATACCTTCAGTTGGCCCAGCTATAGTGGCTTCATCCCAAAGAAGTGATAACTTCTAAAAAAATTGAAGTTACATGTTTGCAGATAATGTAGAGAGTACACGGGTGAAATCTTCAGCAGCACAAATTCACTTTCCCAATGGAGGTCTCACATCTAGTACAGATGTTCAAACAATGGGTATCACCCGTAAGGTAAGGGTCCTTTCTGTTCACCAGAAGGCACTTGCCTATCCATGAACTTGATAATCGAACCATTATTATTATTTTTGCTAGATGTTTTTCCCCCCTTAAGAAACAAAGTATTTGTTCTCTGATCAATTTGGTTTAGCAAACTCTTGGTGAAAACACAGATGGTACTGAAATATTTCAATTACTTGGATTAATACAATGGCGTTTATGGGATAAACAAATGAATGAAATGATATTGAACCAATTATGGGTTCTCACTTAAAAGTTTAAGCTTTTAAGTGGTATGTTATGGGCATTGAAGGTCTTTTCAGTGGTATGTTATGCTGTTAGTGAGAACTAAGTGACCGGATAACGGTTAAGGACTAAGCTGATAAATTTTGAGTTCTATTAAGTAAAATCAGTATCTGCAGACGTGGGTTGGTTGTGCAATGGACCCTCTGGCAAATTCAGAAAGATCAACTCAATGTTTTAAAATAAAATTATATTACATCTGATTAAGAAAGAAGTATGGACAGGGTCCGCTTTAAACAATGCCTGGGCTTGAAATTGCATTGACGACGAAGACAAGAATTGAGCTGTGACTGAAGCTCATGATCATTTTCTTAAATGAAGTATTATGCTCATATAAGTATTCTCAAGTGACCAATGAAATATTACAGGATTTCACTTGTTACTAAATCTATAAGCATGGCCCACCTAGACATTACGATAATAACTTGTCATGGAAAAGCTAGTCATTTCCCATGGATTATTATCTTTTAGGGGAGAAAGAATGATTCCTCTGGTGTTTCAGAAAACCATAGGAATGTTTCTCACAATCCTTCATATGCAGGATTCGTTGGAGGGTTCCAAACAATTGACGGCATTCAAGTCATTTGACAACCAAAATCGGCGTGAGATTTCTTACACCCCCGCTCGCAGCAAGAGTGTGCTATCAGCTTTCTTTGCCAAGCCAAAAGTTCCCAAGACCAGTTATGTCTCATGATTAATTCTGAAAAGCAAGCTTCTTCATATTGTGGGTAGATGTAGATGCCTTAATATAGGTCAAGATGATAAAAAGTAACTCAGTTGCTGTCAAGTTCTTCAATAGAATTATAACATGTGACGTTTTTACTCATAACAAAATTAATAATGCAATGCCCCATGGTAAAAGAATGGGGCAAAAAATTCACTTGTTATGTTTCTATTGAAGCATATCATGGCAGACACTGAAGGGACGACCACCTTACCTTGGACACAATAAGACGCGTGTTCCTCTTCTATGTGGCCATTCGTGCAGTTCCATGGAATCGAGTTTTATAGGACAAGCCTTTGAATAATGATCCTGTGTATAGTAGCTGACTGGCCAACCTGTAATGAATAATAATGGTGTTGATCTTCTCCTGGTTGAGTCTTTTTGCCTTTTCTTAAAATTGTGTTTGATTTGTGATTTTTACCAGCTGCGTTTAGGTGCTTTTAGATGAAGTTTGTATTACTGATTCTATGGAAAATGTTGTGATTTTTTCCCCTCCCGTTTCGAGTGCTGCTTGCTGGAAGGGGCCCATTTTAGTTTAATACCAGCTTTTATCTTCTCTTCTTTTTTAATCATTATCACCATAAGTGCATACGTAATTACCTACCTACATATATGCATATATTTGTCCTGCTTCTGAGAATCTCTGCAGTTTAAAATTAATCCCTTTACATTTCTCAAACAACGGTAGATTTTGATAAACTCAACCTCTTGAACGCTTGCAACACCTCGAGGAGCTATCAGGGCCAATGGTTCAGACCTGAGATCGACGGCTCTAGTAAGAACAGAATTGGTAAATGGGGAGTAGTTGTAAGAGATAGTAGTGCAAATTGGATGGTGGGGTTTAGTGCTAATGTGGGTGACTTCCCACTGGCTAATACTGAGGTCATGACTAACATGTATGGCCCTCATGTGTTGGAGCCAAGGGTTTTTGAAGGATTAGAGTGTTCACTGAATGTGTTGGGGCAATCTATCTAGTACTTAGAAATGGAATGAGCTTCACCCTTGTAATGACATTTTAGATGATGTTAGAATAATCCTTTTTATATAGGGACTGGTATGTGTCTTTAGAATTGACATAGATAAAAGCTAATTTTTGTACTTACTGTCTAACTAAAAATACTTTAGATTGGGTTGGTGATTTTCACATTTTTAATCAATACCACCTTAGTCCTTATCATAGGAAGATGGTGGATAATAGAAAGATGTTTTAGCTTTTACTTACTCCTTTTGAATATAAATCGTTTTATAAAATTTTACTTGATACGAAATATAGAGCATTGAGTAGGTATTATATATATATATATATATATATATTCATTTATTGAGTACTTAATAATAGCGTTTTGAATAAGATAAATGTTATATTTTCTCTAAACTATAATATATGGCATTTCTAAAAACCTTATTTAAATTAAAATATAAGGTATGAGTAATTTTTGTAATTATTTTTTCAGCTTTGTTATTACTTTTTTTGAAAAAATGATATATTAAAATTTTAATTATTATTATCAAAACACTTATCTTGAAAAAATGATATATTAAAATTTTAATTATTATTATCAAAACACTTATATAAGATATTTAATGAGGGTAAAATTAAAGAGATGTGAATTATTAAAAAGAAAATTCAATTAACATTTTTCGTAAACAGTAAATTTTTATATTTTAGTTTGGAGAGAATATTTATTACATTTAAAGGAATGATTAAAAAAGTGTTAAATTTTTGAAAAATAAAGATTTTAACCAATCTATTTTTATAAATAAATGTAAATTAGTTAACTGTATCATAATCCGGAAGGGTAACTTGTAATCTCTTTTCAATAATATATCACTTTTTAATAAAAAATATAACTTTTTATTGCTAGAATTATATAAAAATATTTAATATATATTTTTAACTTTTCACAAAATATTTGCAAGATGCGAGTGAACATGGCTATCAGAAGCCCGTAATGGAGACAGAATTATGACTGCTTTGTCTTCTAATTTCTAAGCGCAGAATGAACTGTTGCCGTCGTAAAAGCAAAATATAAAAACGATGCGTTTGCCGGGAGTCGAACCCGGATCTATTGCTTGGAAGGCAATTATCCTAACCGTTGGACTACAAACGCTTGTTGGTTTTGAAGATACGACAAAATTATAAATAATAATAATGATGTATCATCAAAAACTTAATATTGAAAAAATTCAAATTATCATGTGCATGTACTCCCCGTTAGAAATAGAACGAATTATTTCCCATCATATGATTTGACTTTTTACGTAAGAGTTAAAAAACCTAATCCAAGGAAATCCCATGGCTACAATACAAATACAAAGGACTGGGGACAAATGGAGAGGATGCACTTTGTTAAACTTTCATCACATAACTTGCCTCTGTTTTGGCCTCAAAAATCAGAGACAAACAGCATATTTTTCCTCTTGTTACATACACACATATATATTAGGATACCTTTTCTTAAAATATTCTTGAAAAATTATTTATTTCAGATTTTTCAATTTTATCCAGATTTTTCAATTTTATCCCCACTATAAATTGTATGTTAATAGGATTAAAATTAAAAAAAAATTTGATTTAAAGACATATTTAATAAACTAATAATTATTCCTCAGCAGTCAGTGAAGTAGTTGTAAACGCCTTTTATACTAGGAATCAGAAAAAGTGTACAGGCACACAGTTCTATCTGTATAAGCTTGGCTTGACTCTCCATATCATGAAAGGCGATACTAAGATTGAACACAGAACTGATACACAAATGAAATTTGAACACAAGGAGCTTGAAAATGAAAACCAGGAAAAAGATATAGATAAAGAGACATAATATTATAACTTAGTTTAGTTAGCAGAACCCCCACAAGTGGGAATGGTGCTGGCTAGGCAAAGACATTGGAGAGAGTGGGGAGCTTGATCTCTCCGTTGTGAGAGAGAGGGATGGTGAAGTTGCCGATAACAGGAAGATCAATGGTGAGACCGAGATCCAGCTGATAGTCAATGTCCCAATCGCTTCCTATGTCCTTCGCTATACTCATCAGTATGCTGTGTGCCACTTTCACTGGCACCTCCAAAATCGTTGTCTCGTCCCCTTTCAACGATCCTGGATCTGCCATTGTCCCCTTCGCTATCTCCCTTCACAATCATTTCAATCAACTCATCCATCAACATTCTCCAATTCATGTATTCAATTCACGTATTTCTTTCATTTAAAAATGTAAGATATTTTTAAAATCTCATCTTTAATAAAATAGTTACACACTTTCAAACCAATCTTATCTTTCTATATTTACTTTTATTAATAAATATAAAATGATTATCAATAAGAGCATTTAAAAAAAAAACAATGATTACACTTTAAAATAAAAATATTTTATATTTTTAAACATCTAACTCTTTAGATTAGATTTTTTACTTTAAATTAAATTTTTTAAAATTATATTTTTTTAAGAGAGGGAGTACATAGTAAGTTATTTTAATTGATGAGGAAATTAATTATTATGTACAATTAATTTTTATAAATTAAAACAACTCTAGTTCTTGGCCCCCCAAAAAAAAACTCTAGACGGAATGACCGGTCCGCTCAAAATTTTTAAAATGAAAAAAAATAATCATTATTGAATTGATTTCTTAGTATCTTGGTTAAAATACAATCAATCTCCAATTTTTGATTCGGTATATTGAAGCTCAATATGTATAATGTTGATTTCTACATTTTAAAAAGTAAAATTACTGGGAATAAAGTTATTTGTTGAAAAAAATTTAGAGATAATTAATTGCATCTAACTAAAATTAAATTAAAATTATAAAAAACTAAATAAATCCAAATGATTATGTATCCCTGATCTAAGGTATTGAATTAAAATCTTAGGGCAAAGGAACAAAAGAGATAAGGTATTTCCAAGTTATAAAAGAAAGAAGGGAGGAATTAAGAAGAGTACCTTCCAGCGCTTTTGAGGGAATAAGAGATCTCACAGATTGGGATTGGGGCGCTGTAAGGGTTCGACACCGAGACCTTGGCCAGGTATTCCACGCACTCCCTGCTCACGCGCTTGAAGTCCACGTCTTCCACACTCGCCTCTGGCTTCTTCACATTCGCTATCTTCTCCGCCACGAAGTCCTTGGCCTTATTCACCAGCTGCGACATATTCTTCACTTCCTCACTTCTCACGAATCTTTTTTTTTTTTTGATAAATCACTTCTCACGAATCTGGCATACATACAAACAAAAACTGCTTCCTCGTTCATATTTATAGTCGTCTCTCACACCACGCGTCGTAGGTAGTTGCCGACACGTAGGCGTCGTCGGTTCACACGGCCCTGACACGTGATGACTACGTGGCAGGCATTCCGCTTTCACGGACGGGAGTTTTCATTGTCCTGATGACCCCGCTAATTCAGATTTTTCTTTGTTTTTTTTTTTTATTCTTTTGCTCTGTTTTTCGGCATCAGCCAACGGCCCAAACCGCCAAGTTAGGAGCTCACAAATCAACATAGGAAGGAGTGTCACATTTAATAATAGACTTTGCTTCCAATAAGGTTACCTCTGGATGAACTCAATGGAAGATATTAATCTTTTATAATATAAAAAATTAAAGTGTGAATTTTTATCAAGAGAAATGTTTATATTTAGTGTTTGGATGTATCTCAAACATAATTACCTTTAAAAGAGGATACATGTGCGTGATAAAAAAAATTATCTTTCAATAAGAGAATACTTATACAGAATTAAAAGAAAAGGATGATTTTTAATTGAAAGATACATGTGTATAGTTAACACAAAAAAAAAGTAGGAAGAATCCCAATAAAATAATTTTATAGAATAAATTTTTTAAAATAAGTTTTGAAAATAAAAAAAAATTGTTTGGATCATTATTCTGAAAAAAAAAAACCATATCTAAAGTGATGAAATAAAGGTGAAATAATGATTTACTTTATTAATATAATTATCATTAATTAAAACCATGACGTTAGAGCCTAGTATGAGAGGCAACCCCATTGCTCATAAGTGAGTTGCTGTATCATCTTTAGAATATATATATGTGTGTGTGTGTGTGTGTGTGTAACAACTTTGGAAGTTGTTTATAGTGAGAGCAACTATACAATCCTATCAGGCTGCAGAAAAGTCTGTCTTTGTTTTACATCCTTCTTGCCAGTGCTCATGGTGGTGCTTGTGTCATTTTGGACTGTTTTTGATGGCTCACTTCTTACTTTCACAATGAAATTGACTGGGTTATTAGTCTTCCTTGCTGTCTCTTTTTCGTTTCAAGACTACTAGTGGTCCAATAAGTTTGTTTAGTTTTTTTATTTTCCATGTCTTTAGGTTGCGAGGTTTTTTATGTACAAATTGTTTTAATGTTTATCGTATAAAGTTGGCTTCAGTTAAAAAAAAAAAAAAGGTTCTGTCTTATCTACTCCTTTTAATTAATAATTAATTTTGTGTAAGTCAATCTCTCTTAAATTAGAAAAATGTTACGTCCGATCCGTTTTGGTGTTAAAATAAGGGAAGCCCAATTTTGAACATTTGTTTCTGGGGCTATAAGATCATGATTGGCTTACTGGGTCCGGACTTGACGCCCAAGTTTCAAAGGCCCAAGGAATTATAAAATGCTAACAAACCCTAGCTACTTCCCCTGTAATCTTTGCTTGTTCATTTCCTCGCACCTCCTCCAGAGGCAGCAGGGAGAGCAGCAGACCAAGAACGGAAGGGCGTTTTCCTTCTCAAGCTTGGAACAATGGGTCGTATGCACAGTCGTGGGTTCGTTTTCTTTCTGTTTTAGGGTTTATCAAACTTGGTTTCAGTATTCGGATTTCACATTGGGGCTTTATGAGCTTGAACAGAGTATTTTGATTTCGTATTGAGGATTGTGAACATTGACTGAGGATTTTGACGTTATCTAAGTCGGTTTAATCTTTTGTTTCTTTGTCAGTAAGGGTATTTCTGCTTCGGCTCTTCCTTACAAGAGAACGCCGCCAAGCTGGCTGAAGATCTCAGCTCAGGATGTGAGAAGCCCGAATCCTTTTTTTTTTTTTTCCAAATTAACTACTATAGTCCGCTATGTATCTTTTTGAATGCTACGTACATGTACTTTTTATTTGGTATTTGATAGTTGCTACTCATTTTCACGAAAGTTTTTTCTGTGTTATCCACATGTATATTTTAGCTAAATAATATGATAATTTGATTCTCTGTTGCGTGAATTTTGTGTGGAGGAATGTAACTGAGGTGAATGAAGTACTCTTTTGTTCCACTTTATGTTCGTGAGAGGGGGTTTTTGATCTGATTTGAATCGTAATTACTATAAGCATGTAGGGATGTGAATAATAATTATCATCGACTTAGGAAATTGTAATTCCCATTGCAAACGGATCTAATTTTTCTTTGTCTGATATCTTGAATTTGTTTTCCTAGGTTGAAGAGAACATCTGCAAGTTTGCCAAGAAGGGCTTGACACCATCCCAAATTGGTGTTATTCTTCGTGACTCTCACGGTATTGCTCAGGTGAAGAGTGTGACTGGTAACAAGATTTTGCGTATTCTCAAGGCCCATGGTAAGCTTCATCTCTTGTTTCTAGTTATTGTCAGGTAGCTCTTGAATTTCGAGGATTTGTTTTTTTGACAGTGAATGTAACTTACTTTCTACTTTTTAGGTCTTGCTCCTGAAATACCAGAGGACCTCTACCACCTTATCAAGAAGGCTGTCTCAATTCGCAAGCATTTGGAGAGGAATAGGAAGGATAAAGATTCCAAGTTCAGGTTAATTTTGGTAGAGAGTAGGATCCACCGCCTTGCTCGTTACTATAAGAAAACAAAGAAGCTTCCTCCCGTGTGGAAATAGTAAGTACTGAGGCTTTATCTAATGCAGAACATCAACATCTTATTAATTGATTAATGTATGAGTCATTACAAAATTACATGAATAAACTAATACCGGTTCCATGCATTGTTTAAAGCTTTTGGTAAACATGTTTAACCTCCTTTTAGGGTATTCATTATCTGTCATTTAGCTCGGCTATTGATTCTGATTAAATAGACTGACATCTAAGACAATATTTTGGCAAATGGAAAATTTGATTTCCCAAGCGTGTTGAAACTCATTTGTAACGTGTTTGGATATCAGTATATAACAAATAAGAAAATAATTGAAATTAATGTCTGATTCTTTTTGTGAAAAAGATATTATATTTTCTTCTGTATACCTTGAGAAAGCATTTGGGATTCGGGATCCTTGCATAAGTAATGTAAAGGAAAGAATCCATATGAGAAAGAAGAGGGTGGGAGGTTTGTCAACTATAATTTCTGTTCCCCATAGATGCGAAAACTTCCACTTCAAGAATCTTTCAAATGGGGGGAACTTTGAAATATTTTTTAAAAAATAGTAGAAAATCTTTAATCATCTTCCCGTCTCTGTTGATGACTCTTTAACAGAGAAGATTCCTTTTCATTATTCGCCATCCGCACAAACATAATCTGTAGAGATGGTTCAAGAGAGCTTGCCTATAAACATGCACTTGTATGTTTCTTTTATTCATGTTTTTCTTCCTCAAGTAGAGTTGTTGTGTTCTATTTTTCAGATTGTGTTATATATGTGAATGTGTTATATCATTCCTCATTATTTATTAAAGTAGCATTGCTGCTTTTGCAATCTTGATTCTCTCTCTCTTTCTCTCTCTGTATATTTATATATGCTCCAATTTTTCCCCATTCAGAAGTGCACCTTTAGAAGCATTTAGCATCCGTCCCCCCTTCTGTTTTTTTTTTCCGCTGGTATTCTTATTCAGTTCTTATTTTTTGCAGTGAGTCCACAACTGCCAGCACGCTTGTTGCTTAAATTAAGATAATTGGTGATGGTGTTGATTACCAGCCTTGTTTGCTGGATGCTTGGTGATAGGATGGAACTCCAATCTTTTTCCTGTTGGTAATTTTGATAATTGGTTTCGTTTGCTATAAGTAGTTAGATGTATGCATTTTGTATCATTTCATTGTACTTCTGAGTTTGGTGACTCATTGAGTACTGAGTTAAACTTATTTTCTTAGGGAAGCCATAAAGTGGAAAACTGGAAAATTGAACATTCGATTCCTTTGGTTATAAAATTTTCAAATCTTGCCCTAAACAACTGATAACGGGTTAGTATTGATTTCTTGATGTAGTTGTCGTCCTCCTCCTTCAAACATCTGTGTTAAAAGTGGGATGACGATTCAGTCAATTCCCATCAGAATGGTGTGCTTTAAATAAATTTACTAGTTTGACTGCTTAGGTAAGCACGATGAAAATGTGATAAAATTTAATATTATATATCACAAGTAACGCAATTATGATTCACAATTTTTTGGATGAAATTACTTTTTCTTACTCATTAATATGATTAATTAATTTTTTTCTTTATATTTTGATTATTTAGTTCATTGTCATCCTTTTTAGCAACCAAGTAGCTCTCCGGGGTGTGGCTTGGTGTTTAGGATGGAATGGAATGTGCCATATTTTGATAATTTATGACACTTGGCTTTATGACGCATTTCCCCTACATTCTTGGCTCTTCCAACATCTAGTTGTATTCACTCACTTTTACATATGTTGTCAATCCAAAAATTTGAAATTTAGTACTGTTTATCCTTATGTTTTGGAAAAAAAAATTATAAAAATTAGAGTTATTTCTTAAAAGTTAGGGACTGATTTTTAAATTGCTAAAGCTATAGATACTTGGACTCTAATCAAATTTTGGTGATAAAATAATTTTTATTAAGAGATAATTTTGGGTCTCTGTATTTTGTTTAAATTTTGTTATAGGATATTGTACTTTTTTCAGTGAGGGACTTAAAACATGGATAAAAAAATGTAGAATCCTTTCATCAATCCGAATAGCTTGTAAAATAAAATGGAAGCGTTCTTTATTTAAGAATTGAAGAAGTACTAACTTTCCCAGGTTTCTTTGGAGTTGGATTTATATATCTCTGAAATTTTTAACATGAGCAAATGCTTAAGAAATTTATAATCACCTCAAACAGCATTGTCAAGAGTTCAACCATTGCAGATTTTGGATCCTGTTCATAGCGTTCAACCCAATTTTTAACTACATTAGGAATGAGCTTGCCTTATCCTTTGACAACCTCCAAAAAAATCATACAAGGAAATTTACTTCAGCCTCAATCCAGTTATGACAAAAGGGCAGCTAAAAACCTGATCAAAGTCATTCTAAGAAGATAGCCCTCACTCAAGGATTGAGTTACAAAATTATCCGCTCTTAAAAACAAGAACCAAAAAAAGAAAAAAGAAAAAAGAAAATCCCCACAGATCATGGTGCGGCTCACCTCACATGTGATTAACGAACAGGAAAGTGCATACTCTGAACTGATGCATCCCATATACACGAGTTTGAATGACCCATTCATCAGGTATGAGAAAGAATAGAAAAACTTAGTAAAGAGTATATGATTAGTCTAAAGCATGCGTTCAAAAATTATCATATACCTATAGCAAAATTTGAGTAAAGTGTAGAGATAATAGATTTAAAGTTATTTTTTTCTCATAATTTTCTCTTATTGAAACAACAATGATAGGAAGGAAAAAAAAAAAAACCTTGATATATCGAAATTACAAAATTACCAAACAAGTTATTTTCATTTGAAGTTTTTTTTTAATAGAAATCTTCATTTGATGTTGTTATTGTTGAAACATCACTGATGTTGTAGCATATATTAACACATGGGATTTTACCAAAAAAAAAAAACGTTTATATTTAAAACGAAAAGACTATCATATTAAATATTTCGAGGTAAATAACTATTGTATTTACCATCACCCCAAAATGATGATAATTCATATTTCCCTGTATATTGCTTGAGAATAACTGTTTCTTTAATCTTTGTGGCTCCAATCTGTCACATTTCTCAATGCTTTTGAATTTAGCAAATGAGTTCTTGTTTGGTGTACTCCCCCCCCCCCAAAACAAAATGAACAGCTGTTAATCTATACTATAGTATGTCATTTTATTTAACCATTCTGATATTTAATTCTTTAACCAAAATTAAGCTGGCGATTAGTTCTGATTTTTATTTTGACAAATTATTGAAATAATTTATAAGCATAATTTTAAATGACTATTTATTGGTCTAACTAGTCAAACTAGCTGATTTAGTTAAGTTCTCTCGACAACGATAAACATGACATTTCCCCTGTGGAAGCAATCTCCCACCTTTTCCCAGCAATTGGATTTAGATCCCCTACATTACCAGCCTCTATCAATTGCTTAAGTGCAGTGTATTGGAGGAAAAAAAAAAAAATAAAGTTGTTATAAGTAAAATTAAAATATAATTTTAATAAATATTTTAACTTGCATTTCTTGGTTTCCAAGGCTCAGAAGTTGTATCAACTGATTATTCTGGCTTGTTCTTGGAGGCGGCAAGTTCATCAAACTTTTCATATGGTCCAGGCTTTTTAATCCTTCAAGGTCTATGTGAATCTCTTAACATCTTCTCCAGAGTCCTTCATGTCTTCCATTACCATTGACTCAACTCTATCATCTTCTCAAGACTCCTTCACGTCTTCCTTCACCGTTGGCTCAACAAGGTCTCTCCCTGAGTTGAGCTCCATGCAACAATGGTCTATAGCAAGTTCTTTTCTTCTATGCCCAACAACCTCGAGTATTCCCATGGTTGGTTAGTTTTGTCCTGTCAATGGCACTTTCACCTCTTCTCTGTTCTCTATAAAGTTTTGCAATATTTGGTAGGTAGAAAAATATTTTCTTAATACACACACACGCACCATCTTATTTTCTTTCTAAATACATTATACATTTATTTTTAGAAAACACTTCTCCATATACTAAACATGCAGTATTTCTTCTTTCAAATTCCTCCTGGGATTCTCTATCTATCATGGATTGTTACTGCTGTGATACCAAATGATGGTGCACTCCAAATCAAATGATACTTGAACCCACAAATGACTTTTCTAGAATATAATCTTAGCAGAAAGAAAACACAAATATGGACAATAAATGGAAAGCGCACACAAGGCTAGCACTTGGGAGGCTGAAATTGCCCCACACTCATTGAATTTTTTTTTTTTGCTAGAACATTCATTTATTGGTTGCTTCAGTCAGTTACAAGCGTGGGCTTTTTTTTTTTGGGGAGAACAAGCGTGGGCCATTAAACCCATCAGAAGTTTGTAATTTTAACAAAGCCTAAAAACAAATTCTACATAATTTATTCGAACCCAAAAAAGCCAAAAAAATAAAAATAAAAATGACATGAGGTTAGCTCAGGCAGTGAGAATGGGGGGAGGTATAGGAAAACGTTCAAGTTTGTAATTTTAACAAAGCCTAAAAACAAATTCTACATAATTTATTCGAACCCAAAAAAGCCAAAAAAATAAAAATAAAAATGACATGAGGTTAGCTCAGGCAGGGAGAATGGGGAGAGGTATAGGAAAACGTTCAAGATTAAGCCCTTTGATGTATTTTCTTAAAAAATAATAATAATAAAAAAAACTCAGAAGGGAAGCTATGTGCTCTGCCTCAGCTATATATATATATATATATATATATTTTAATCTAGCGCAAATCTATATTTAGTGATAGGGAATTACATAATTCTGGCCAACAGAAAACTAGCGAAATCGTGCAGCAAATTTAGAATGGAATTGGTTGTCTGCTTGGCCATGATTCTATCTTCTCGAAATACTTAACTGGCACAACCCCTTCAAAACCTTCTGTCAATATCACCTTATTTTCAGAAATGTAAAGCTTCATGCCTTCTGAAATAAAGATCAAAACAGAATAGAAGCATTCAATAATCAATACTCAATAGTCTTGTCTTCTATAGTATCTTAGAAACAAGGGAAAAAGAAACAGAACTTGATCACATTTGTAACACAGCTAAGGAAATGAGGCAAGTCTATCATACCGTCCAAAGCTTTCCGAACATCTAGAAAGATCAAAACATTGACATCCCGTCTCATACCTGGAAGAGGCAAACAAGAGAGATTTAGAATTCATGTACACAGATAGACATAAGCCAGCAAATCCAATTTCATCCGAGTCTCTAGTAGATACCAGATATTAATGACACAGCACTTCAGTTATTGATAAGCTAGATCTCATTCAAGAATTGAGCAATGCTCTAGGCATGCTTATCCTCCAAAATTAATGCTTTACATTTGTTTAACAAATTGAAAAATCATTTTGGAAGAGAGAAAGCCAAAAAACTTGGAACCTACCACTTGATTAGTAGACCCTACTTGGAGAGAGAGCCAAAAAACTTGGAACCTACCACTTAATTAGTGGACCCTACTTGTTTATAAATTTAATTCCCTAAACATGACGTCTTTGACTCTCAAATTCTACAGGAACGTAGAAGATCCAAATTCACAATTTTCATTTAACAAAGTAACACAAGCCACCAAAAGAAGACTTCAGATCCACAGGCATCCAACCTCCAACATGATGTCCCAAATCACTGAATGAGTTGGAGATTTCTATAATATTGCACACTGAAACATGCATATACAAAAAGGTAAAGGCATGTGATGGAATTCCTCACAAGGGCTCCACATTCTGCCCAGATCTGATAGGCCACATTTGAAAAATAAAGGCCAGCTTTCACACAGCACAAAACAAATATGCAGGACAAAATCTCAATGAATTACATAAAGAGGATATTTTCATGAAACATGCCAACATGGTATTACCACTTATTACTTCTCCGTCTGTTGGTAAACCACATGAAAAGTGAACGTGCAATCTCTTCATGCGCTTCAGACCAGATTCTAAAATTGAATTCAAGTTCCTTCTGTAGGTCCCATGCACACAAACTGCATATAGCGGCAAATCTAAGCAGTGGAACATACTAATTTGAAACAAGAATGAAAAAATAAAAATTGGGAGCATGTGACATGAAAGAAAAAAAAAAAAAGGCAACTTACCGGGAATTTCTTCAGCTGAAAGGATTGGTTTCAACAAGTTTTCAGTTTCAACAGCCTGCAGATTAAATGTCATTAATCATAGTGTAGAGCAGATGAAGTAAATTAAATGAATTCTGAATCAATCTGCCCAAAAAATAAGTCAGTATTTGATAGAAAAAAACATAACATGGGATACCTAGTTTCACATTGAATAGTTTGGGCTGCCTTCTGGGATACTTAAGTGGGTTAATTCCCCCACCAAAATAACTCTTTTGATGGAGTTAAAAGGTTCCCCACCTCGAGGGTTCATCAATTGGTAATGGTTCTGGTGGTTAGTGACAAGCTATTAAATAAAAAATTCTAACCAACAAAGAAGCCAAATGAAGTGTTGCTACCAAGACATCAGTTTTTCATGGCAGCCAACTCACGAAGACTAAACTAGCATGGGAGTTTAGCCCCATGTGTCATGGATTGCTCTATGGGTACTTAAATGAGTTAATTCTCCCATCTCAGTAGTTAACTTTTAGAGAAGATTTTACCCTTGCTTGAGTTGCTCATTAGAATTATTCTCAAGCAATATAAACATTCAAAGGACATATAAAAAAAAAGAATTAATGGCATGCATTAATGAGAATGAAAGGCATTCAAGAAAAATCTCCCAAACACAGGTTCTCACAATTCACTTCTAACTCTAGGACAGCTCAAACCTATCATTCATACAAAATAATGAAACAGACTGAGATAGTTGACAAGGCCAATGTACACCCCAAAAACAAACGAAAAGAAAGGAGGAAGGAAATTTTTAGTTCAGGCCTCAAATAAGACAAACCACTGGTATTCACATAAAAAAATTCTCTATTTTCATGCTATTAGATGTTCTTGGCTTTGTGTTTCTTGTTATCAAACGATTTTAGCCATCAATTTGAAAATCCATTGGAATAGTGACACCAAAAAAAACAAAACACCATAGGCATAAAGATAAGAAACTTTGTGCCATATCATTTATTTTGCCAGCTACAACGTTAGGGTTTGCAAACAATTTCATCTTTTGGTTAAAGCCTTGTTAGCAAACCATGAAGAGAGCATAGATTTATTGCTATATATTCTGAAGGTTAATATCTAGGTGTTTGAAGCATAGCACTGATGTAAACATTCATCCACTACTTGGAAGAATCAAAAATCAAATTATATTACTGGTAGTATTAAAAGGAAGATTGGAAATGATTGCAATAATTCCTTGGATACTAAGTTTTGGCAGAACAATGCAAATCAGTTTCAGTAGATTTTGGCAGCTAATGCTGTAAGAAATTGGAATGAAATCCTTTATCGAGCGGATAGAAGGTCTGATGATAGGTCTCATGAGGCTTCAAGTTTTGATTCCAACATTGCATGCAAAGTTAAGAGGGCCTTATTCACTCCCAAGACCCAAATTGCTCAAAATTAGCAGGACTAACATACTTCAATTAGCAACGCGTGTTATCAAGGTCATCAAGACCAAGAAACTATGGGCCTTTTTTCTATGTTGTTTGACTCTCCAAACTTTATCAGAACATAAATCCAACAAAACATGTTTGATTAGCTGGGTATATGGTTTCATGGTTTCAAAATTTGGCAGAAATTTTTGATATTTTGCAAAAGGAAACCATTCTTTTTCCTTGTTTGGTAAACCAAAAGGAAACGATTCTAATGTTTCATTCTTTATAAAATCTGGCTTTCATGAATCAAGCAAGGATTAAAACAGGAACAGTTCTCATCAGTATTGACTTGCACAAGATTTTCCAGTATTGGAATAAGCACAGTCAGGCTTCGGGTGATCAGTCACAGCAAGGACAGATGTGAGAAATTATTTATCAAGCTTTGAAAGAGAAGTTGGTAGTTCTGGCTGGAAATATGTTGCAATGCTTCAAGTGAAAGCATATCATCAGAACAAATAGTTTTATTAGCACCGTCTGTAAAGATGATATCACAGTCAGAGTACTGGGATTATTACAAACATTCTATGACGGAATCAGGAATTTTCTAAGATACTTCAGTATAAACATTAGCAATCACCTTCACAATCATGCATGGGATTGTGCTAAAATTGTGGCAACAAGACCTATGTCTTAAAGTTAGGCAGCCCGAGCAGGTTAGTAGATGATCACAGAACTTGGACATGACAATATTCTAAAGCATGCAATGTTCTCTATGGAAAACATGAGATAATGTGTGCGATAATGTAGTAGGTTCAGGAATTTAAGCTTATTTGACCTTGTTCAAGTACTTTTATATTCGTACAAAAGAAAATGCTCGTCAATTGACCAAAGCAAGCTTTTCTGATACAAGAGAATCATCTCCAAGTACCTGGGCTTTCGTTAAAAATGCAAAGGTCAGGACAGGAAATCCATATTCTACCACCTCACTTGTGAATATATCTTGAAGTCACTAGAACCAAAATTCATAAAAATAAAAAACAAATTCATGTTACTTCTTTAACAATAAAAAAATTTAGGTGAGTTGGGTCCTGAGAACTTACTAAGGTCAGGGCATGCTTTCAAGCTCATAGCGTTTATAAAGATAGTTACAAATCACCCACCAACAAAATCCTCATATTGGCAGCAGGATTTGATATCATGAGCTAGCAAGTTATCTTACCAATTGGATCAATTGGCTACGAATTTAAATTACTAGTTCTTGTGGATAATATAAACTACTCAAAAAGGCAGAGAGAAATGTATTCAATTATATGAATACTTTAGCATACAAATGGAATGGGCACCACTATTCATCAGCCTAAGGCTAAAGATAATTTACAATTGTCCCTAACAGTGACGTCAGTCACAATAAACTCCAAACAGAATCAAGATCTCCACAAATAACACTATCCGAAAAAAGCTAAAGGAATTCACAAGCAGATTTCTGTTTTATTGTATTCCACAAAGTTGCAATTCACATTTAGATGAACCAGAAAAAGATACAAAAGAAAATTAGACACAAGTACTACATTTACTTTTCCTTCAATGACATTTTAACCTATCCAGTGCAATTTCAAGAGAATTAGAATCATCATTCAGCATGAATAGTTAGAAAAATGGAGGGTGCCAATTGAATAAAGTTCAGTTATTTCTTCAAAACTTTAATAACCTGCAAAGATGTGATGATGTTCATGCAAAAAAATGTTTACCGTAATTGTGTGGCCTTGATTAGCTCGTATCAACAGCTCCTCATTCTCTTCTATAAGGCTAAACCGCTGCTTGTTATCCTTTCGGACAGCCTAAGGATATCCATAAGATAATGAAGAATACAAGTTTTTAAGGAAGTAGACATGAAATAGACATTCCCTAATAACAAGATTCACAAGTAATCAGTCTTAAATAAAGTCATCAAATATAGGCAAACTGAAATAGTTATAAATTTAAATTAAAAACTGTGAGTAATAAACATCATAGGCACCATAAGCCAAACAAGTATCGGGCGCTGCTATTTTGTTTCCTCACTGTATTTTAAAATATAAAACGCGCACCATAATTAAGCGTATAAATGACATTAAGTATTAAAAACATTACTTGAATTCTAATCCCGGAATGCATTTCACCAAATGCAACCATAAATTTGAGCCCCAAAGAAATGGCAGTGAATGAGTACTGACTACTGACAATAAAGATAAACTGGTTAACAGTGAAACAAACAAGAACTCGAGAAGAAAAAAATAAACTAACCTCCCTGACGTCATCAATAGTGTGCGATTTTAAGGGAATATTGGCAAATGTCTTCATATTCAGCTTCAGTAGATCATTGACCTTCACAAAACCATCGCTCCGCATATTCAAATTCAATTCAGATGCCATATGGCGTAAAATTCGTGTCCTGCAAATTTTACAACGGAAGTAATTACCATTAACGAATAAAGTATATCATAATTCAGCTGAATTTCTTTCAGTAGTTAAGAGCGAAAAATCCATTTTACATTAAGAATTACAGTAATTACCATTATATACAACTTTGGCTGTTCAGAACAAAAGAAAATGGTTAGAATGACATGATTGTAGGGTCTGCAAGTGCTTACAGAAGCCTCCCAAGGGCATCGATTTTATCTTTTCCGCCTCCACCGCCACGCCCTCTTGTTCTATCTCTGTCATTTCTCATCTCGAATGCCCTTCCCCTGCCACCACAGCCAATAAAACCAAAAATGTTTCAGAAAACATATTCAAAGAAATCTCATAATCATAGATTACACTCGAAAGCCTTTCTCAAGCTTCTTAGAAAATTTTCCTTAATATACAGCTAAGTTTTTTCTTTAATCCCGATAGACAAAGCCTTCCTCAAGTGTCCGCGAGGATTTCACCAAAGAAAGAAAAACATAAATAAAAATAGAGGAAGAGAACAACCTTGGACCAGCATGAGCGTGAGATGAGAATGAAGAGCTCTTGAGATTGGTGTTCTTCTCGGCATGATTCTCCATAGGAGCAAAGGCAGAGGAACTGAGTAGTAGAGTCGGAGCAATGGAAGAGATACGCGGAATCAAAACACTGAAGCAACGCGAAATCAGAACACTACTGTTGGTGAGGGAGGCAAACATGGAGAGGTTGAAGAACTATTGCTCGCTGATTCGGGTCCGATCTCTCCTCTCCGCCGGCTTCAATAAATAATAATAATAAAACATTTTTTTAATTGAAAGAATTTTAATGTAGATCCATTCTTATTTAAATTTAAAACCTCTAAATTTTTAAAATTATATTTCTATATTTAAAAATATAAGATATTTTTAATCAAATTTTACCTCAATAAAATTTTTACCTACTTTTAAATTAATTCTATATTTTTATATTTATTTTTATTAACTACCTTATAATAATATAAAGTCACCATCAATAGGGGTACTTTAAAAAAAAGCAATGATAACATCTCGAAAGACTAAAAATATTTTACATTTTTTAACATTCAACTCTTTAAAAAATGCCTTACATTTTTAAACGGAGGGAGTATTATAATTTAGGGGTACTAATTTAATATTAAATTTTTGAAAAAATGATAAAATTTCTCCTCATTCAAATTAATATCAGAACTTTTCTATATCACTTATTTATTATTTTAATTTATTTATTTATTTACTTACAAAATGTTATTAACTACTTTACTTAACTTGTTTTAATTTTAAGTGTTTAAATCATTTTAAGATAACTTGTTAATTTCTGTGTATATTGTTCATTTACTTATAAACTATTGTTCATTGTTTTACTTCATTTGTTCATTACCAAATTTTTATATAATTTTATTCTTGAGAAATGAACAAGTATAGTAGAGCAATTAATAATATTTCATAACTAAATAAATAAAAAAAGTAGGGCTATTATAATATTAATTTAAATGAAGGATAATTTTATTATTTTTCTCAAAAATTTAATATCAATTTAATATCATTGAATTGCTTTGATATTTTAGAAATTTAGAAGCTTTGAATTTGAATAAATGTGGTCAAGGGGTCTTTATTAAAATTCTCTCAATTTTTTTAATGGTGAGCATTGTTCAAAGTTAAAGTGTGACAAAAATACTCCATTTTTGAAAATTGCAAGCATAATTGTTCCCAAAAAAAGTTAAGATACCAAAAGTTCCTAATAAAAAATTTAGGACATTTTTGGTCTTTAACTTTTTTTTATTTAAGAGGAATTGTAAAACTTTTAAGACCCATTAATTCAAGGGAGAATGACAACTAAGACCTAAGGAAACTAATTTATTTAATTCTCAAGTGATTTCCAATTATCAAGTAAATTCCTTAATCCTTAAGTGACATTTTGTCATTATTTTAATAGATATAGGAATATGCAATTTTATATTCCAATTTTGCAACTCCTTATGATGACTTTGCAACTTATTTTTCTAATTTTAATGAGGAATACAATTTGAAAATTTAGCTTTTAATTTTGCAACTTTGAACTAATGAATTTCAACTTACTTTCTACATTTTAAGAAAGAACACATATGTTAATGTTTAAATTGAAAAAGTAATAAAGTTATTCTTCTAACAACTCTAGGGATTTGAATTTTGATTCTCAATTTTATAACTTTAATGAATTTGCAATTTATTTTCTAAATTTTAAGAAAAAATATAGATATTAATGTTTAAAGTTAAAAAGTAACAAAATCATTATTCTAACAACTGATTTGCAAGTTTAATTCTCAATTTTACAACTTTAAAATGGATAAATTTGTAACTTATTTCTCAAACTTTAAGAGGGAATGCATATGTTAATATTTAACGTTAAAAAGTAACAAAGTTATTATTCTAACAGCTCTATGAATTTGCAAATTTAACTTCTAATTTTACAACTTTAAAATGATAAATTTGCAATATGTTTTCTAATTTGTAAGAGAAAATATAAATACAATGTTTAAAGTTGAAAAGTAACAAAATCATTATTCTAACAACTAATTTGCAAGTTTGTCTCCCAATTTTACAACTTTGAGATAGATGAATTTACAACTTATTTTTTTAAATTTTAAGAGGAACACATATATTAATATTTAAAGTTGAAAGTAACAAAGTTATTATTTTAACAACTTTATGAATTTGCAACTTTAGCTTTCAAGTTTACAACTTGGAATTGATGAATTTACAACTTTAGTGGCTAAGTTGAATGTTAAGTATACAATCGTCAAACTTAGAGATTGTTAAATCAGCCCCTTAAAAGAATGCAACAGCTAAAAACTTTGAAAGAGAAGCTCCACCTTCTCTCTAGTAATCTGGAGAGACAGTTCACCTTCCTCTTTGCCTCTTCTACTCATTCTTCTACTCTACTCAATGAATTCTAAGTCACCACTTAAACCAAATTTCATTTTTACCGCAACAACAAACTATGATGAGAATCTGAATCCACCTCTATCAACAAAGGAAGTTGATTTGCTACTTAGGAATGTACCTAAATTAGATGAAGAAATGATTAATAAAGGCCCAGATATCCAACAGCAAAGATCAAACTCTCAACCAAACATTAACTACACATCTGGACAAGTAAGCCAACCTCAACAATTGCTTCTTATGCATACTCAAGCAAAGTCTACTTAGGCAAATGCAAAAATCACAAACGAGGAAGATTTAATTCATGGCATTAAAGCATTCAAGGGTCCCATTTCTTATAAGGAATCCTTGATTGGCTACAACGAATGTTATGGAATCAATAAAGGAAAAGACACTCGCAATATAAATCATTCTCTAGCAAAAGAGCTTGAACAAGAGTGGTCACTTATTGAAGCTACCAAGCAATTGATGAATTAGTTTCCTAGTGTGCCTATATCAAATGAGGAGTGGACGAAAATATACACACTATGGATGGATGCTTTAATGATCAATACCTTAGGTATAAAACTAAATCCAAAATCTCTCAAACCTATATTAGCAAGGATGTGGTAGCTAAGAGATTTTGAGCCGATTGATTTGATAAATGGTTATTATATTGTTAGAATAAAGAATCAAGTAGCCTATGAAAATATCCTTAACAGTGGCCTATAGACAATTTTTGATCATTGCATTCTGGTTTAATATTAGTTCCTAAGGCCATGTTTGGTATGCAAGAATCATTCAAAAAGAATCAAAAATGGAAATGGAATCCTGAGGAAGACAAGTTTGGTACATTTGAATTGTGATTCTTGGGAATCCAGATTCAGGGAAACTTCCCTGAATTGGATTCCATCATAGTGAAGATGGAATCGGTCAGATTTTATGGAATTAATCTTTTTAGACCACTATGCCCTCTATCTTATCTCTGCCTTTTTTTTTCTTATTTTGTTCACTTTGAAATCTTCCTCTACTAACATCGGCATTGTCTCCTCTAGAAACGGTGGAGTTTCTTCGAACAGTAACGAGTATTTTGGTTCTAACATTGAGAAATCAAACACTCGCTTCCAATCTAGCATATCAAATCCAAAGTAATATTCTTTTGGCATGTCGAACCTGAAGTAATCCTCCTTCTCTCGATTCGCCTTCACGCTCTCGGAATATATCTTCCACTTCGGCCGCCTTTGCCTTGCTTTCTTTCTTTGATTCTTATGCCCTCTGCAGCTTGGTCTCTTTATTGCAATTGCTTTTGAATTGCAGAACTGACATGGGAGATGGTAGATAGTGTGATTTGTCGTTAGAATCATAGCCAGAGTCGGACATTTCTGACTTCACCACCATATTCATTTTCGTCTTCATCGTCACCTCTGCTTCGTTGGGCTTTTTTGTCGGTGGAGGGGTCATGAAGTTTGTCAACGCGTTTGGTCCACGTATCTTAATCGCTGCATTATCATAAACCATAACCTTGAAGCACCCAACTCCACTGATGGAGGCGAAGGTAGCTTGTAGGGACTTATAGTCATGGATAAGGCCCAAGTAGTTGAGGCAGGTATCATCGTCTGTCATGGCGATAATCTGGGCATCGCTCATCTACATGCAGGATGTGGACTTGCAAAGGTGCTTGAGCTCGTGGAGGCTCTTGGGCACCGGCCACTGCCCATGATGTCTCTCCCCCCTCTCTCTCTATGGCATCTCTCTCCCCATGCATCTGAACTGTCAAGGTCGTGGGTAGTGGGAGGAGAGGTGTGGTGGGACTTTTTTTTAGCAAGGGGTATTTTGGTGTTTCTATTATTTTAAATACATATAATTATTAAAATTATATCAGATTCCATACTCATACTAAACAAACTTTTATAACCCAATTCAATTTCAATTCTGACTCCGATTCCAATTCCAATTCCATTAAAACTCTTCCATCATACCAAATGAGGCCTAAGTTTTAATCCTAATACCAACATACTAGGCAAAGTCACACTATGGGTGAGATTAAATAATATTGCTATTTAATGTTATGATAAAGAAATTTTATGGAGAATAGGAAATTGTAATGGGAAAACCTTGAAAATGAATGTCAACACTATTTGAATCTGGCTCTCAAAATAATACGGGAAAAATTAAAAGGGAAAAGTTTGTCAAGATCAGTGTAGAAGTGGATCTCTAAAAAAAACTCGTTCCTAGAATACTTATAAGAGATCAAACCTACAGAGTATAAAAGTTTGAGTCTCATTTGTTTTGGATGTGGCTGTTATGGGCATAATAAAAACATTTTCCCTCACAGACCCACAAACTCTGGGTTTTTGGAAAACATGAAGGATGCGGAAAGAACATGAAGTAAATTGAACAACATCAGTGAGCAAAATCCAATTGCAGAAAAAAAAAATCCCACAATTCATACATCAGAAACAACAGATAATGGCGAGTCTTCATCAGAATCCAACATACCAGTTAATATTTTTGGAGAGTAAATGAAATTTTGGTGACTTTCCCATTCACGATATCCAAAGAAACCAACAGCTAATTGGCATAATCACACAAATTGAGGATCTGCTTCTTAACATAGATCTAGATTTGACATCCTAACTGATCTAGACCAAGAAGCCGGTGGCAAGAAGGACTCTACAAATATCTGAAATGATGTATCTTCTAAACCACTTGCTAAGGTTATCAGAAAGGTATAGAGGAAAAAAGAATTGTCATAAAATAAAAGACAAGTCGGGCAAGAATGAAGGTGAGGAGGAGATGACTGGAAATGAAAATAAGGAGGAGAAAAAGAATGACTTAGGCAAAGGGAAGAGAATAGAAAATGATGGGCTTAAATTCATTTGGAAGGTATTGATAGTAAAAGAAATCAAAGGGATAACTACTTCCTTAAGAAACTTGAAAAATCTCTCTGGAAAGATTACAACAAATTCCTTCTCTAAGAAGAATTAATTTGGTTTCAAAAGTCTAGATGCAAGTGGTTAAAATGAGGTGATCGTAATACTAAATATTTTCATGCATCTACTATCATAAAAAGGAAAAGGAATCAAATTCTTTCTCTTAAAGCTGATGATGATACTTAGATTCAAGATCAAATTTATCTTAAATGTATGGCTGCTTCTTATTTGGAAAATCTCTTCAAGGAATTGGATCATGATAAACCAAAACTTATCACTCAGAAAAACTTCCCCCCATCAAACACTCAGTTTTTCTCTTTACATAAGGAGGTTATTGAGGAAAAAAAATCAAAAATGATACTTTTGATATAAGAGCTTTCAAAGCTTTGGGTCCAGATGGTCTTAATGCTAGCTTCATACACACTTACTGGAAAGATCTCAAAGCTAGCATCTTCCAACTTGTTCAAAAGGTCTTCAGGGAACCGAATGCAATTGTTGAGATTAATGATACTTACATCACTCTTATCCTTAAAATTGATAACCCATCTAGCATGAAAGATTTTTGTCCTATATCTCTTTGCAATGTAAGTTACAAAATCATTACCAAAATTATCTCCAATTGACTTCGTAATTGTTTAAGCTATCTTATTAGAGATAACTAATGTAACTTCATTTAGGGTCGTCTAACTAATGACAACATTATAATTGCTCACAAAATCATCCACTCTATGAATAATAAGACCAGAAAAAAAGGGTTTCATAGCCCTCAAGGTGGATCTTGAAAAGGCTTTTAACAAACTTTCATGGGATTTCATAGATGACACTCTCCAATTTGTTGGGTTCGATTCTCATCTAAGAAGAATCATTAAAGCTGCTATCTCAACCATTCAAATGAAAGTTCTTTAGAATGGTGAACCCTCAAATGAATTCATTCCCACACGTGGCATTAGATAGGTGGACCTCTCTCTCCTTATCTTTTTATCCTCTGTAGTGAACATTTAAGCCACTGTATTCATAGTAGTATTGATAAAAATGATTGAAAACCTATTAAACTTACATCTACTAGCCCTCATATTTCTCATTTATTTTTTACTAATGATCTTTTACTTTTTACAAAGTCTCTTACTTAAGCTTTGATTATCCAAAACTGTCTCTTAAAATTCTGTAATGCTTCGGGGAAAAAAATAAATATCTCTAAATCTAAACTTTTTTGCTCTAGAAATGTCAATATTAACAAGGCTACTCAGATAAGTGATGCTTTAGGAATTTCTCTTACTAGAAATCTTGAAAAATATCTAGGAATACCTCTGTTTCATGAGAAAATTATGAAACTTACCTTTGCTCCTTTACTTGATAAAGTTGCTTTCCACCTTGCTAGTTGGAGAAGTCATTTCCTTAACATTGTTGGCAAATCAGTTCTCATTAATTTTGTCCTCTTAGCTCTTCCTAGTTACACCATGTAGACCTTGCTTATTCTTAATAATGTTTTGGCTGATCTTGAAAAATACTCAAGGAATTTTCTTTAAAACTTTTCTGATAGAACCAGAAAGCCTCACCTTCTTTCTTAGGATCGTGTGACTAAGGATAAAAGAAATGGGGTTCTTAGACTCAAAAATCTCAAGAGTCAATATATCGCCTACATGATGAAATTATGCTGGGGTCTCATTACTCAACCTAAATGCTTTTGGGTTCAGATTCTTCAGGATAAATACAAATGTAATAAAACTACTATTCTAATGGTATACAAACTAAGTTCTTCATCTTACACATGGAGTAGTATTTGTAAAATTTGGGACAATTTCATGTCCCAGGTTAGATGGAAAGTGGGTAAGGGTAACCAAATATTTTTTTAGTATGACAAATGAGCTCCTCTCCCTGAACCTCTTGTCAGATATGCCTTCCCTAGTGTTGATTATATTCTTCATGCCAAAATCTTTGATTTATGCACACCTACAGGAAGATGGAATTTCAACCTTCTTAGCCGCCATCTTCATCATGATGTGATTAATCAAATTACTCTTGTAAAAATTCCTAAACATCACAGTGAAGATGATGTCTTCTGCTAGAGACCTTCCTTTGCTGAAAATTTCTCTATAAAATTTGCCTACAAAATGTTGGAATCTTAAATGATCAAAACAATCTTGATATTTGGTCTAAAATTTCTCTATTTTAGTGATAATTGTTTCCTTTGAAAAGCTGCTTGGGATCACCTACAGAGCAATTTTATAATAGATGAAGAGTGTAACCCAATACAACGAAGCTACACCTTTAGTTGTAACTCTCTTGATTTTTCAATTCATATCTTACGTGATTGCAAGGAAGTGCAGGAGGTCTAGCTAAAGCTACTCAAACCTTCCAAATTAAATACTTTTTTCTCTCTGAAGGTGTAGGATTGGATAGCTTAAAATGCAAGAAATGAGGTAGGGAATACTAGCACAAGAAGAACCAATTGGAAAAAGCTGTTTGCTCTTGTCTGTTAGGACATATGGAAAGCGAGATGTAAGAGAATTTACTCTGATGATGTCAATCAAGATAAAGATATTGCCTTCTCTTGTACCTAACAAATTATAAATGATATGTGGCTTCTATCAAGAGTGAATATTTTGAATAAAAATAGACTCAGATCTGAGGCTAAATGGTGTCCTCCTAAAGCAAGGTGTGTCAGACTTGATATAGACAGTTCTGTTAACTCTTTTAGCGTTGTGGCTTGCAGTGGAGTCATTCGTGATGAAAAAGGAAATTGGATTATCAAATTTTCAAAATATCTTAGTTATCAACCTTGTATGGTAGCCAAATTATTAGGTATTTTAGAAGGCCTTCAGCTTAGTTGGAATACTAATCTTACAAAGATCAATTTACATACTAACTCCATGGAAGCCCTCTCTCTTATTCAACATAACTTCTCTTATCATCATCCTTTAGCGGTTACCATTAAGAAGATTAGGGAGTTTACTATGAAAAACTAGACTGTTACTTTTGATCATGTTTTTAGAGAGATAAATAAATGCACTGACTTGCTCGCATGGGAAATTTTTCATGAAAACTATGACCTTTCTATCTACAATAAGCCACTTATGGTATGTAGGATTATCTTGAATTTTGATATATCTTGACTCTTGTAACCCTTGCACAGTTTTGTCTGTGTTTTTATTCAAAAAAAATCAGCCCCTCCAATGTAGAGACATTACTTTAGAGCACAACGATAGCCATAACCCATTTCTCCCTATAATTTCTTCTTCCCCTACCATTATCCCTTGACTCTTTGCAATTTATTCTCCTTTCTACCCATTTATCTCTCAAAATCACATTCATCATTACCCATGTGCCTTAATCTATTTTGAAAATTCCTAATCAATTAAGCAAGTCAAAAAATCGAAGGGATTGCAAGAGGGATCATTGTTCGAGCATGTTTATTTAGTTTAATGCTTATTTGCTTTGTTCTCTTTTTGGTTTTGAAGTGTTGGCAAGAGCGAGTAAAATTATAGCTTGAGTTGTGCCCAAAGATACTATCCTTATGAGCTATTTCACTATATCAGGTTGATTAGTGGCAACTCTCTAAAATTAAACAAACCCTGCTTGCAAAAAGCAAGGATATAGAACAACAAAAATTCAAAAAATAAATTTAGGCAATACTAACACTGGTATTGAAGCAATGAGATAGAGGAAGAGAAAAAACCCATCTTAAATGCT